GCATCGACTATGGGAGGATGGGGTCTGCAGCATTGGCCCAGGTCACAGATCTATTGGCGTGCTGACATTTCCTTCCAGACTGCATTAACCCCGCCAGCTGAAAGGGTGTTTTTCCCTTTTATAAAGCTGTAAATCATCCTTACAATCATGAATCTGCCATGACTCCCTTCCCCTCTAGCTACATGGACACACAGCCCCGGCTACCCTGGAGCTCCAACAAATCCATCTGTACAGGCTGAAATACGGCTCACGGGGCTGGTGCAGTCACAGCATCTTCCCATCGCTCAGGGTTAGGGCCAGGGGGATTGGGCTCCTGGGAAACGAGCAAAACACTCTGTGTGATTTTGAAAAAAAAAAAAAAAGGAGATATAAGGATCAATGCTCAATGGGTCTTTCAGCACCTTATTATGAGCCTCCGTGAACATTCCCCACCTGGCCAAGCCAATCCACCAAATCCTGCTTTAAAGAGCAGCGTGTATAAAAAGCTCACACTTGGCTTGGCTTGCCCCCGTGTTCGCGGTATTTATTGCCGCCTGCAAGGAGCTCAGCTGCCTTGCCCGTGTGCAGCCCCGGGAGCGGCTTGCAGGGAGCACGGGGGAAAAACCAAAGCGCCTCCAGAAGAGCAGGCATGCCGATTTGGGGATAAGAAGGATAAAAAGAAAGCTGCACATCTAGTGAAAAAAAAAAAAATATGAAAGAGTTTAATAGCAGCTTAAGACTGGGGGTTTGGCAGCTGTAACACGGAGAGAAATTAAGCTCTGAACACAGAAGGTTATAAAGTGCTTATAGTAACTGACACGGACACGCAAGGAGCTTAGCAAAGAGGCAGAAAGATGGTGACTTTCCAGAGCTGGGGCCAAGGGACCAGAGCAGTGACCCGTCCTTGGGCCAGCCGGGCTGGTGATACCTGCCACAGTGCATTAACCATGCAGCGGGACGCGGGGCTGCCCAGGGACATCTCTCCAGTGGCTGGATGAATGTGTTCAGCTCTTGGATGCACCCGTCTGTGTGTGCTGAGGGAGGATGATGCCCACCAGAAGGTTGTCTATGCTGCTGGGACACCTGGCCACAATCCTGATCTCGTTAAAACCACGCAGCACTTCTGGCATGGTCAGGAGTATCTCAGCCACCCTGGGTGTGCATCAGCACCCACACAGTGGGTCTCATGTGTCCTATGAGCCTTAGGCACCGTGTGTGCTGCAAAAGTGCTTGTGAGCATCGTTCTGCTCTGGAGTCCCAGGAGGAACCGTGGTGCTCCTGGCATAGGGGAATGAGGGCATGGACAGAGCTCAACCTCCACAGCCAAGACCACGTCACCTCCATGGTCACGAAGGGACCATGTCACCTCATGTCACCTCACCCCTGATTCTGGCTTTGCATCTGACAAAGTGAGATGGGAAAACACCCACCAGCAGAGCTGTGGCCTGGGAGGTGCTGCGGGGCGCTGCTGGGTGCCACGGCCAGGCTCAACATCTGTGTGTCAACCACAGGAGTGGCACCTGTGACGGTGCACAAGGAGCCTTGTGCTGCTGCTTGTTGGAGCTGGGAAGAAGCATCAGCCAGAAGTATCTGCTGAGGATGTTCCTGAGCTGAGAAAATACTGATTCTCTCCCCTCCCTTGGAAAACAGTCCTTACTACATCACCCTGAGAAATACTGTGGGGCCGGGAGACCAAACGGTCCCCAGACCGGTCCCCCATGTCCTGCCCTGCTGCTGGTTAATCCCGTCAGGGAGATGTTTGCCCAAAGAGCCTTGGCGGTGTTCACGCACGTCATGTTTTCCCCGAGGTGATTTTTCTGGCCCGGCAGGGTCTGTGCCTTACGTCTCTGGCTTTGCTACAAACATGGAGCTAATCCATTTCTGGCAAGGCAGCCTGAGAATTTATGTCCGTGGAGCGTGAGGAGATGAAAAGGCACCGTACAACATATTATCTGAAGTGCTCTATTGAATTACCAGCCTATGAATCAAAGCAACTGTAACGACGCAACTTGGCTCTTTGCCATGAAAAGGGACGACAGTCCCCAGGGAGGTTTCAGACTCCTGGTCCCTGGCCATGCTCCCATCCCACTTTGGCCCCCTGGATGAGGAGCATCATCTCCAGTGACCTACACCCTGCCTGAACCATGGAGAATTCAGCTTCTGGACCAACCAGACTCTACACCCACCAACTCCAGCTCATCAAAGGTCATCACAGCCATTCAGGTGGTCCTTGCAGGCTCTCCGTGGGGTGAGAGCCCACCAGGATGGGTCATGTACCCCCAACCTCCTTCCCACCCAAAGCAGCATGAGCCATGCATTCTTACCTGCTCTGCTTCAGAGTAGGGGTTGTTCAGGACCATGGGTGCATTGCTCTTCCCCCACAGCTCACCGAGGACACGGTCGTTCTCCATCGGAGCTGGTAAGACTTTCTGCGGCTTGTTTTCCCCTTCCCTGAAACTGAAGGGTTAAAAATCATTGGGGTCAGCGGGCTGGAGGGTGGCTGTGTTTTGGGACCATGGGACCAGGTCCCAGAGCTCCTGGGTCAGCTCCAGCTGCTTCCCACGGGAGCAAATAATCGCACATCGCTCCATGGGAGAGGAGGAAACACTCTGCCTCGGCCAGGGCAATGAATCACCGCCGCGAGGGCAACCCAAACACAATAGAAATTTCGCCGTGCGGGCGAGCACAGCTCCTGCAAAACAACAGGAAACCCTTGCCCCAGGGCTTGCACTTATATGGTTACATGCCAGACCCTCTGCACCCCAAAAACCAAGCTGGAGCCTGGTGAAAGCAAACACAGAGCTGGGGAAGGAGAGCAGCATGCATCTCCAGCTGCAAAACCTCCTAGCAGAACCAGCTGGGTTTGCAGAACCTTTTGGTGTTTAAGAACGGAGGAGAGGAAAAAAATTCCACCAAAAAAAGTAGGTGGCTCCCAGGAGGGCGAGACAGCTCGCTCTCCACTTCCTGACCTTTACAGATGCTGCAAATGCCGGCGAGCGCGAGAGATTTTACCCGAGCAAACAGACGGCTTGCCGCTGGGGCTGTTGGTAAGGCTGGGGGGTGGGGGACCGAGGACATCCCCAGTGCCTGTGCGGTGAGACTGGTGTAACTCCCAGTGCACACAGGCTACCACGCATGTCTGGGCTGGGGAACGTGCCGCGGGGTGGCGGTGGGGCTGTTAAATGCCACCTGAGCAGGTGATGGAAATCCGCTGCCACGTGAGCCCTCACGAAGGAGAAAAACAAATGGGGTTTGGAGATGTGGATTTTGGAGAAGGGAGGATGCGGCACCTGCGCCAAAGACACCAACTGCCCCAGTGAAGCCACATATGGGAAGGGTCCCTGCAAGCCAGGTCTGGCAGCCACACCGCCTTCACCCTCGCTCAACAGACCATCAAGATAATGTGCTCTGGCAATTGTTTCGCTCCTGCTGTCAGTTCTTAAAAGTCTTCCAGATGCCCACTAAAGTCAATAATGAGCCTTCCCATTAACGGCTTTGGGCACCGACCAAAGTAGGATGCTGGTGCTCACGACATCATTCACACCAACACGCTGCTCTTGACACCGTCTCAAGGAGACACGTACATACAAATAAACTCAGTTTCACAGCCCTCCTTGCCCCCCAGCTCATATCTTTAGGTACAGATACAGGAAAACACTTCACTTAAAGGTGATCTCCTTGTGCTCTGTGTTTTCTGCAATTTTTCTGCCTTTGCAGAGCAACGTTCAGCTGCCAAAATATTACACCAGGCTCCTGGACATCTTCCAAACATTGGCTGTTGTAGGGTGAAAGTGGCCAGCTTGGTGCAAGGGAGGAGGTACAGGTGCCTTGGGGGCAGCTTTTACTGGGTTTTCTACATGCCCCCCCCAGGAGAAGAAAGCTGTTCTTTTGTGACTTGGCTCCTACGAGTACCTGAAAGGGCTTCAATCAGATAAAACACAAGAAACTCCACCCGTCACACTGCACAACTGCAGCCAAAGACAACAGGTCCATGACCAAAGACAACAGGTCCCAGCTCTTTGCTACATGGTGGTGGCACTGCTGGGAACACTGGTGGCCATGCAGGTCCCAGGGCTGGGGACAACCATGAACCGTACAGTCCCCAGGCTGGCCTCCACCAGCCCAGCCAAAGGGGAGGCTCGGGGTCTCTTGACACATCCAGCCTACCATCATCTAGAGGATTCCCAGCAGCAAGGCAGAGAATTAGCAGGATGAAAAGGTGTTGAAGGCTGGATGAGGCTTTGAGCAACCTGGGCTAGTGGGAGGTGTCCCCTGCCCATGGCAGGGGGGTGGAACTGGATGACCTTTAAAACCCCTTCCAACCCAAACCATTCTGTGATTCTATGATTTGCTGCTGTCTGGGGTTTAGCAGAGGGAACATGCCTCCTGGGAGCCCACAGTGCCTCTCCAGGGCACAGACTTTGCCTCTACACAGGCAGGAGAGGCTTGGGCAGACAGACCCCCAAGTGCCAGATACCCTATAGGCGCCTCCAAAATGCCACTGAGCGCACGCCTGCAGGCGCCTGGCACGACCTGCTGCTTCCAGGATGGTGTTTGTGAGCCCGTCTAAACAGGCGTCTGCCGGCACGCGGGAACCTCAAAGAGGAATCCATCAATCGGCGGCAGCAGCCGGAGGTCTCAGCCGGGAGGCTGCACGCGTAATCTCATTGTCTGCACACCAGCAAAGCCGTAAATGCTGGTACCTGTGCCAACGGCGTGGAAAAAGTCCAGATGCTGGAATTAAATCATCGCTGTAGTTGGTTACTTTGTGTAATACAAGTAGAGCTGGAGCGGGTCTCTGCTCCTGCTCAATCGCCTCGAGCATCACCCAACAGCAAGATGCACCATCCCGAGGAACAGCGATGTCCAGGCAGTTGGATGCTCTGGATCAAATGCTCCACATCCCATTGCATGTTTGCAAACGGGACAGAAATGGGGTGTGTGTTGCTGTTCTTACTCAGCTGGGCTGTGGAAGCAAGGCAGCAGGGTGCTGCCCTCACCCTTAGTCTCTGATATAAAATTGTGGAATTTAGCCATCAGCCTGCACTCGGGTCGTATCTTGCCTCCGTGCCGGTGCCGTGCTGCGGTTCACTCCATCCATCCCTGGCAGGGCTGCGGGTCGTGCCCCCGCGCTGAGTCAGCGCAGACCTCTCCCGGGTAACGCTGCCCAGAAGTATCCGGCTCTGTCTTTTGGAGAGAAAAGCCCATTCAGAGCAGCCACAGCCTCACTCCAGATGGGGGAAAAAAATTAAAACCCAATCAATTGCTTCATTTTACAGATATTTCCTGCCCGGTCCTTGTTACTGCCTTGTTTGCCCGCTCCAACAGGAACAGGGTCTGTTGGGTCAGTTGTTTTCCTCTCTTGGCCTGGCTTGCCCGGCCACCAGCCAAGCCGCGGGGTGACCTGCCATGGTCACACGAGGATGCCACTCGCACTCTCAAGGAGACAGGCAGGATGGCCAAAACTCCGTGCCCAAGCTCAGCCTCCAGATAATGTTTCCAAAAGCACTTTATCGACTGGAGAGCCCAAGGAGCCATTCACAGGGGGTCCCAGTGGGCGATGGGGAGGGTGCGGACCCCCAGGTTGGGCACCTCCAGGGAGCGGCGGGGGGAGCAGCCCCCTCTGCAGTCACGCAGGGGACAGGGGGGACAGGGGAGAGGGGAGAAGAGGGGGGTAAAGGGGAGAGGGGGTCTTGCCCTCAGCTCCAGCAGCCTTTGGGGAAATTCTCTCGACTCACCATCAGAGCTGACCTGGGTGCCTTAGGGCATTGAAGAGGATTTTTTGAAATCGCCACTTGGGGCACTGGAAGCAGAGCTGAAGGTCTGTCCTTGGAGGCACTTGTTTGGCTGAACTCTCCCAAAAGGCAGATCCAGGATCCAGGGATCCCTCTCTGACCTGGTCCCACTGCTGGGTCTGTTAACTATGAGCAAGATCTCCTGGATCCAAAGCAGATTTTTGGGAAGGGACCCAGTTTGAGATCATCTTTTGTTCTGAAAGCAAAACTCGTCACTCAAAAAAAAAAAAAAAAAAAAAAAAAGAAAAAAGAGGAATCCTGCCCTCCCCCACTGGTGCAAAGGCAGAGCCTTGGATGCTGCCTCACCTCGGAAAGAGCATCTGGCTGTTTTGGAGAAATGAGAGGCACCACTGTTTTCTTTTGACTAATTTGATGATGTTGCAGTGCTCAGAGTGATGAAGCAGGAGGGAAGTTGCTGAGACAGCCCTTTGAGAAATTTCTCCAAAGCTTTTCCAAACAGAAAGGAAGAAAAAAAAAAAAAAAAGAGCAAAAAGAAAAAGTTTGTCACTTGGCTCCTTTGAATTTGCTTGTCAGAAGGATGTCTCTGATTTTTCAGGCAGAGATGAGAGGTACCACTAGCTGCTGCAGTCCCCAGGGGCCAATTTGGATGAACTGCTATGGATACTGATGTCCATGCTTCCGATGACAGCTCACGTGCTGGGATGCTGATAGCAGTACCCTGTGCTGTGACCAGGGGCAATGGACCCCTTCCAGACCCTTGTCCCGGTGGCTGGAATCCCCACGCTTGAGCTTGGGGCTGCGTGGAAGGCTCACACGTGCACACCTCGCTGGCTCGGAGCTTTGGTGGAGAAATCCCTTCTTTTTGCCTTGGGTGTCCTTGGAGATGGCCGCAAGGCTCCACTGTGCATCGCTCCTCCTGCCAGTGCTAGAGGCTGGGGTAAACGGCTCTTGCCTCACCTTTCTTTTACCCCCAGAAAACCAGACTCCAGAGGGCATTGCATCCTCAGAAATTAATATTTCCTTGCAATCACACCCCCAGGGCAGCTCACAGTCTGCAACGTTGGAAAACATGCTCATCTTGAGGGGTACAGGGAGGTCTGGCGTTTGAGGGAGAGGCAGGGGAAGGGATCGGGCAGGATCTGGGATTTGCAGGGTGCAGATGGAGCAGAACTCGGGAAGGAAGTGGGAATGCTGAAAGCAAATGGAATAATCCCAAAAGGTGGGATGTGCTCCCTGGGGCCGGTGTGCCCAGAGCAGGCAGCTGCAGAGCAATCAGAGAAAGAAACCAGTTCCTAAATGAGAAATGGGAGCTTGAACAGGAGGAAGAGGAGGAGAGCCTCCCTGACGAGCTCGTGGCATGGCTTGAAGAAGGTCTTGTGCCCTCAGAAGGCCAGAGCATCCCTGGGCTGTGCCCAGTGCTGGAATTCGGGACTAACGAGCTGAGGAAGCTGCACAGAGAGGCTTTGGAGAGGGGACTATGAAATATGAGGTTGGTAAATGCCGTTGAGTAGGCATTGAAGGATAAAGACCTGGGAACAGACCCAAGCCATCCCCAAGTCCCACCGGCATCGTTCAAGATTCAGCCAGCATCAGATGCAACCCGCAACGGCCGCGCTCATCTCTTCCCAAAGAGCACCCAACAGATTCCAGCCTCAGCATCTTATCTGGAGGCCAAACACAGCTCGGGTCTGCTGGGAGACCCCAGGCTCAGGTGTGGCCGTGGCTTGCTCTGCTGGGACCACGCACAAGGAGAAGGGCCATCCCACAGGACACAAGAAGCAGCACCAGTGCTGAGGCTGGGTGGATGAAGGGTGCTTTGAAAACTGGTCTGAGAGGGCTCCACAGGAATATATTTGGGTGGAAAACGTTATTTCCAGGATTAGACTGCTATTTCTTTGGATTAGACTGATGTAGTCAGAGTGACGAGGAAGAAGAATCCACCAAGGGAGAAGGGGAGGTTTATTCACCGCCAAAGCTTCCGACTTTTACAGTTTTGCAGAACGGCAATAACATGATCGTTTCAGGGAACCTTTTCATTTCAGAGGTTTGGAAGTTTCGTGTCCAAGTATGGAATAATGAAGACATCAGAAATGCAAATGAAGCGTTTTGAGCAACACAAAGAGATTTTGGCGGCGGCAAAGGAGGTGGGAGGAAGAGAATTTTCTCTTTGAGAACTGCAAAATTATGGGGTTTGTTCTAATGCAGGATGGAGCCTGAAACCCTGAAACCCTTCATAAACAGAATCCCTGCTCTCAGCACACTCCTCCCTCTCAGGGCTGCTGATGCTGCCTTTTTGGACCACAACTGCCATGTTTCCATCATGCAGTTCATGTTATGGAACAGACCTGAGTAGAAAAATAAATACTGGCAACTCGGTGACGGGGAGAGGGAGGGAAGATGGGACATGACAATCTCCTTAGAGCTCCGAAGGAAAAACAGACCTAGGTTAGCTGGCAGAGAGTGAATCAAACTCTATTTTTGTTTTCTAGCCCCCGGTGAGCCTCATGGCAAGAAATGCCAGCTCTCATCATACCTTGCGCCCCACTTCCACGCTCTGTTCTATGATGGGCTCCATCGCAGATGGCTGGAGCCAAGCAGCAGACATTAAGCCATTGTCACAGCCCATCCCACGGGCACGTGCCGTGGACTCAGGGCACCTTCCAGCTGGAAATCCACAGGGAGGAAAAGCCAGGTCATTGCTGGGGCAGCTTCCCCAGGGAATGCACACCATGGGTGCAACAGATGGAGATGAACTGGTTTTATCTCCCAATGCAAAGTCCAGATTTTCCAGTTTTCCTTGGAAATAATGTTAGAGACACGGGCTGGAAGCCCAAAGCATCAGGTGGAATTCAGATGGCTTTTGGCCAAGTCCACCTTTGAACAAGGAGTGTTTGGCTCCTTGTGAATAACCTCAAACTTGTACCGTTCCTTTTCAGCCCTCGGAAAGCTGTCGCAGCTCGGTGAGCCAGAGCGGGTCTGACAGAGAGCTGCAGGCTGTGAAGGTCAGCACCAGGCGAAGACGGAGACAGAACAGGATTGGCCCCGAGACCGGCATCTCCAGCTGGATCAACGGTCAAGTTGTCCAGGCTGTAGGCTTTGAGCTCAACCTTGGGAGAGGTTTTGCACCCTCCCGCTGTCTAGGCAGAGCTCTATTCCTGTCTCGACTAACGCCAGCTTTGCTCGCTACCCCCCCAAGCCTGGAGAAGTCCCAGCCTACAGCCTGAGAGCTGCATCAATCTGATAAGGCTTGATTCTTTTTTTGAGGCATTTTTTTGGCATCGACCAACAGAATCTCTGTGGTTATCCACTCCCCATCACGCCCTGACCTCTCTGCACTTCTATGGACCATGAAAACTCTCACCGTAGACCTTCAGGATGCCCCAGCCCTGTCTGAGACCAGGCGGAGGAGATGAATCATCTCCTGCACGTCGCAGGAGTGGGAGGAGAGGTGGCTGAGAAATGCCCTTTACCGGGCAGAGTGGCTCTCGACACGTTGTCCCTGTAGTATATCTCCTCTCCCGCTTCTCTCTTTGAGCCCAGGTCTTCTCGCTCGCACAGAGTTCCACCGCGAGGGCGAGGCTGCGGCTTTTCATCAAGCAGAAGACTGAAGACTAATTTTGAATGAAAAGTGGATTTTCAGTCCTGAGGTACATACATTAAATAGATTTATTTTTTTTTAAAGGATATTGAAGAATGAAGTGAGTGGAGTTTTGGTGAAGTACCCACTTTGCTAATATTCTTGCTGGCTTGAGGTCCTTCAGTTCAAGTGAATTCAAAGTGTTTCGGTTTAATCTCTTTAAGAGTAGAAGAGACACTCAAAGGAAAAAAAAAAAAAATTCATTCTTTCCCCAGCCAGAGCAGAATTTCCATGGAGAATCTGCAGGTGGTGGGACAGGATGGGGACACTGGGGGACACGGTTTGAAGGGTGAGGCTGTGCCTTATGTCAACGCTGGGGATCGTGCCCTCGGGGGCTTCACCAGATCATGACCCCCAGCTCCATCCAAGCAATTTCAGCAAAAAGAGAGGGGCAGGAGGGATTTTTTTAAGCACTCCTGCACATTTTGTTTTTGTTTGACTTGTACCTTCAAGGTCTCAGTTCTTTGGTTTCTTAAACCAGGTTCTCCCAGGGACGGGTTGACCTGACTGAGTTGAGTTGATTTTTTTATTTTTCCTCTGACTCAGTGTGACCACCCTAACAGGCTCTGAGTAACCGTGTCCTCTGCAGAAAAAACTCACAATTTGGGAGAGAGCAGACATGACGGTGCAAAACCAACCAAAAATAATTAAAAAAAATAAGATGGGAAAGACACAGCGTGGGTGTTGGTTTGTGATGGGAGCAATGGGGAGCTCAGCCTGGGCAGGGAACCCACCCCAGGGATCCTTCTCGTCCGCAGCCAACACCTCGTTGTTTCTGATAAAAAAAACCCATAAATATCATATTTCCCCCTCCCTAAGGAAGCAGGTGCAGCAAGAGAACTTGAAGTTACAAATCGCTCTGTCACCCAGATCACCAGCTTCAGGGAACCCTCCTGGAAAAGCCTCCAGTTGAGAACCGAGGGCAGCCACAACCTCCCGCGGCACTCGACGCTGCTAAAATCTTGGGCGACATGGGGAAAGGCAACGGGAAAAGGCAACTTATCATTGCGAATAAATGGCCAGGATGTGGGAGAGCTGGTATTACAGAATTAAAAAAAAAAAAAAAGAAAGACTACTAACAACATTTTTGCAAAGTGTGAAGGGGCTCCGGAGCGATGGTCTGCATCTCGGGGAAATGCCGAGGAGGATTGGGAGGGCAACGCCACACACACAGCCCCTTGCAAGAGCAGATATCGGAAATGAAGCTGCTCCAGCCGCGTACTGGGACTGCACCCTCCTCGAGAGGCCACAGGGCAAGCAGCCATCTGTCCCCCCCTCATTATACATGCATGCCCATATTGAAATCCTTAGCTCCATCTAGAAGGAGCTGAGGTGATGGACAGGCAGCTCCGCCACTTAATTTTGATAAAGAACAGTCACTTCTGAGCTCTCGATGGGAAACATTTCCCCCTTTCCCTATGTGCAGAAGATGCATCCCACTGCCCTTCAGCTGGAGCTGGACGGAGGCTCCCCTCTCCCCTCCCCTCCCCACAGCCAGAGCCCGACTGCCAAAACCACAGAAGGTTTGGAAACTCATTTTTCCAGGGAAGCACCGGACTCTGCCGGTCTGACCTTCCTTCTCCCTCCCCGGCAGTTAATCAACAGCAGATTTCAAGGGGAGAGCTCCAAGGCAGAAGAGCAAGGACAGACAATACCATGAATCCTATTTGGTAGATGGGGAAACTGAGGCACAGGATTTTGTTTAAAGCTGACAATAAATTAGACTGAGAACACGGAACAGAAACAAATCCCAGCCCAGCCTGTGATCCCCTTCATCGCAGAGCTCAGCTTTCCGCGACACATCACCCCTGCTGTCTCCCCCATTTCCCACTCTTACATCTTTCTCCCTTTCTTCCACCACCTATTCCCAATTTTCCATTGCTTTTATTTTCCCCTCATCAATCGCTTCCCCCCTCCTTTTTTTTTTTCCATCCCTTCCTCTCCATCTCCACCCTGCCATGCCCAACAGCAGCTGTTGGAGAGGTGCCCACCAACACCAGCTGCATTGGGTACCCAAAACCAGCACATTTCACCAAATGTAAAAAAAAAAATAAATATATTTCGAGACCTACCAGTCCACCTGGACTTCTCTATCTCTCGTCTCTACCTTGGAGGGTGCCTCTCCGTCGCCGTCCTTACTGCTGCTCTTCAGGAGATCCAGGACGGGCTCGATTTCTTTAAGCAGTTCGTTGTCTTCCACGCTGCCGTTGAGGCAAGGGTGACCGCAAGCACCCTCCTTCCCCTTCCCAGCGTCCTGCCCTTTGCTGCTGGTAATGACGCCGTTAACATGGACCATCGGCTCCCCCCGCCCCATCTCTCTTGTCCACAGGGAGCCCATGGTGCAGTCGGCTGCCGGCGGCGGCTGCTCTTTGCTGTGGAGGCTTGGGTTGGACAAGTCAACCGCCTTCGGATTCGGACAGAGGGGTCTGGTGACACGGATGGTTTTTGGTGTCCCGTCAACTGCAAAAGTGGTCTCCAGGTGAGTGGTGAAGCCCTCAGGACCCCGCAGGATGAGGACCACGTAGGTCTCGGAGGCGATGCTTCTCAGGATCTCCAGCGCCGTCTCATAGTTCATGTCCACCAACGGTTTGCCATTGACATCAGCCTGGATGAGGCCACTCTGCTCCGCAGCCCCTCCCCGGATCAGGTCTGAGATGATGACGGGCGGCTTGCTGATGCGTTCCTTCACCAGGAACCCGAGGCCGCCCACCTTGCGTTTGAAGAGCCTCACCGAGATGACGTTGGGCTGGATCTGCTGCACGCTGAACACATTCTCTTCCATGGCAGCCCCCCCTCTTCGAGCCTGCAGACCAGGACCTCGACACAGAAAAATTCACCACCCGAGATGCTTACCCACAGCGGGGTGGGGAAGGGGCAACTCTTTGGCTTTTAATCAACTGGTTTCAAAGCAAAACTCCTCTGGGCTTCGGCTGCAGGCTGGCTCTGCAGCATCCTCGCTGATGCCAGGGAAAGCAGGGTGGATCACGGGTGGAAGGCAAGGCTAGGGGCAGGGCAGGAAGGGCTGGGCATTGTACTGCCAAACGGGGGCTGGAGGGGGCAACATGCCAGCTTCCAGTTAGGCTCTGGCCCTGCGCTGGGCGGAGGTGGGGAGGCAGCCCGGTGGCTTCACCAGCATCCCTGCGAACGGTCCGCAGGCTTCGTTAGCTAGAAAGGAAAGAATAAAAAACCCAAAAACAAAGGAGAAAGAGAAGTGAGAGAGGGCAGGAGTGCGTGCAG